GCTGGCCACACCCATAACAAGCCTTCAGAGCTGAAGAAACTGAAGTCAATCTCATGGGACAATTGAACTTGTAATGTCCAGGCTGCTGGCACTGAAAGCAAATAACTGCACTCCTATTAGACCCAGCTGGCAACGGAGTGGTAGGAGCAGATCGTGCAGATTGCTGCCCTTGAAACTAAAATGAACCACTCTTGTTCCTCTTCCAAGAAGATCCCTCTGAAGATGGCCCTGTACCCCTCTTTTACTTCAACTGCTCTCTTCTTGCATCATTCTCTTTATTATTAGCCTCCAGCATCAAAGCCCTTTCCACTGCTTTAGAATAAACCTTAATGAACTGTGCCGTGATCAACGTCCTCATCCGATCATTAATAACCAGAAACAAACTTCCGAGTCTTGTTAACTTCATCTCTCACCATTTCTGGAGCAAAACGAGAAAGTGAAGTGAACTTGTTGTCATATTCCGCCACTGACATGCTCCCTTGAATAAGGTTATGAAACTGGTCTTGTAACTCCCATCTTTTGGAAAGCGGAAAGTACTTTTCATAAAACAATTCCTTGAACTTATCCCAACTCATCTCCTCCACCTTATACCGGCTCGTAACCGACTTCCACCATAATTTGGCATCATTAGCAAACTTATAAATAGCTAGGATGATCTTCAAATGATCCTCCGTCACATCCATTGAAATCAATTGAGTTTCAACTTGCTCCATGTAGTTATCTGTTATCATTGGATCCGCACCTCCCTCAAACATAACCGGTATCAGCTGAGAAAACCCCTTAATAATCTTGAGACGCTTCTGAGCTGGCGTCTCTTCAACTTGAAATATAGGTTGTGGTGCCGACTGCGACTGAGCAGCAATCATTGCCTTCACGATATTTTGCAATAAACGATTCAACTCCAGTGCCACAGAACCTTCACCCACTTTTACGGGTGCTTCAACATTATCCCTCCTTGTGGGGACAACTCTCAGGGGAATCAAGTCCCTAAGAAGTGTGTCCTTATCATTTAGCTCCTCCGGATTGGAGCTGGAGCTCTCACCAACATCACCCCTAGTCGGCCTGGAGCCAACTTCCCTTTGTTCCTCACGCCGTGACATCGTGCTACAAAACGAGAAAACAGTTTAATGACATTACACTAAAGTCCACTATAGACGACTCAACGTGAAATGATGTCGTAATGACACCTAGCATGCAAAGCCATTCAAGAAACATTTTACCGTAGACATTTAAGCACGTAAGCACATAAGCAGTTAAGCATGCTTGTTCAAGTAATAAGCAAGTAGCAAATAGTCAATACACAATGAAATCAACATCCCACGCAATCCTATGTAGGCCTCTACCCGTCGTCCTAATGGTTTTCGAACCATGTGCTTTGATACCAAATTTGTAACGACCCAAGCTGATGCCAAAATTTTAAAAAAATTTCGGCATAACCTCCCCTAAAAATGGTCCTTTAAGAATCTGTCCCAATACATAAAACACATAATATACTCTAGCATCCCATTCATCCGTTCATTATACCTCAACATAGTTCCTCTCATGGTGGAACATCCACACACCAATTAATCTAAATTATCATAATTACAGTCCCAAAATACATGGTTAAGATTTAAAGTCCCTGTCTTACAACGTTACATGATACAATTGCATGGAAATATATACCATAATTCCATTAGTTTCGTTTACATCAAACAAAATATAAGTTCGTTCTTAAGTTACAAGGCCATGAATACTAACTTAGTTACATTTCCACAACTATGAATATACATAGAATGGTCAAAATACAAAATAGCAAACAACCTTCTAACAACTTTCAAACTTGAGGTGGATTGTCGTTCACCGGTTCATTTCCAAGACCTGAAAAAAAATAATATAAATAGTAGGGTGAGCATAAAGCTCAGTAGGTGACACTTAAGACACACATCTTGTGTCCTTGTGAATCCAAACAAAGTATAGGCCAATGGGAAATGGGGATCATACAATGTCGGGAAATAATACAGCATAACGATTTAATCTCAAGTATATCCAATGTAATGCAATGAGATGCAATGCATGCTAGTGTCGCTTCCCATTTTCATAATCCAAAACATCGTTTCTAAACTGTTAATACAGCCCGCCCTTTGGTAGCCCCGCCGCGACACGAGAGGAGGATTGGCTAGTGTCCCTAACCCTTGGTAATCCCGCGGCGTCATTATGGGGCTCAGCTAGCTCAACCACGTTAGGGCGACTCCCTAGTCCCCTCTATGCTATATTAACCTTCGGCCCGTTGGTAACCGCGCAGCGACTGGGTTTTACATAAAACTATTTCATTAAAAACACTTCCTTGAAATTCCCCATATTTATTTCAAGAACAATTTCCCCCATTTCATGCAAACCCAATGGTATGTGTATGTATATATGTTCCATACATTCAATGTCATGGCATTTAAAATTCTACACCATAAAATTAAACAATCAACATGTTCAACATCTCCCAAGTAATTATTAACACATTAAGATACAACAAAATACATTTAAGCATGCTTTACACATAAAACAACTCACATTTATTCACATGAATTTCTTTAGACAACATTTAAAATAATCATTGATACAATTAACTTCTAATTAAGCATGCTTGGCACAATAAAGAAGTATAACTCACAATAGAACAAGAAGATAGTGGATTAAGGTGTCCCTACCTCAAATTTGCACAAAACCCTTAAAATGGGTCTTGAATTTCGAACCCTAAGGAAGGCACCAAATCTGGAATTGTTCGTATGGATGCGTAGAGCTCGTCGTGGGCTTTGTTTTGCATCAAACGACACCTTAATCCGATAAGAGATGAGAGAGAAATTAAGCCTTGAAGCTTTGAAGAACAAAAAAGAAAAGAAAAGAAAAGAAAAGAAAGCTACTGGACGAGAGAGAGAGAGAGTGATACGCAGAGAGGAAGAGATAAGTCATTATATTGGCTTATAATTCATGTGGGCCCCACAGGTGAATAAAATTTTATTCAACTTTAACATATATAATGTTTTTGACTTTATATATATATATATATATATATAAAGTCAAAAACATTACAGAGAGGGCTTCGACAACGATTGTAGAAGGGACATTCTGAAACACAAGGCCAAAAGATCGAAGAAGATGGCCTTCGTGATTTCTAAGAATAAATCGACCACTTGCTCTGTTAGTGGAAGCGTCAAAAGAGGCATCAAAATTCAATTTGATGGATGAAGGAAGAGGAGGAATCCAACGTGAAGACTGAGGGTGGGAGACTGGAACATGGAAATCCAACAAGCTATCCTGAAAATAAAAGGTTGAGAAGTTAGAGAAATCATGAAGTGCTCTATCAAGGATAATGTGGGGATTAACCCTCAAGTTGTTGAAATTAAAAAGCAACTACACAAAGTTCATTTTGAACATAGTTACAAACCGCACACAGCTAGATAAGTAACTATCATTCACTTCTTATTTTATAAACCTTCAAACATTACATGTATGGGTCTTTAGCATGGTTCATTGTATTGTTCAATAAGCAAATTTTTTTCCAGTCCAATATGCGATCCATATCAACCCATATCAATCAATTTACATTGATTTTATCTGAGTCCATTACACTGCAGCCGCAACCGTGACCGCTATTGCTAACCATGCTTTAGAGTACTACAAATTTCTTAGAAATTCAATAAGTGGGGTCAACATCTGTCACATCGAGGGAGGGACTTGGAGGGGAGAGATTTCTAATGGCGGAGCAAAACAAGCGGCCGAGTACGTTGATTTGTGTCACGGCAGTGTCACCAACGCTGATTTGGCCGTGAGCTAGTAGGGTTGTGGTAGCAATTAACAGAAGAGCAAAGAGGAAGAACATGGAAGGATAAGCCATTTCTATTTGTTAGGTTTTAAGCTGCAGAGTAGTTATGTCCAAAAAAATGTAGAGGTGAGACACTTACTTATAGTTAGTTCCTGTAATTAGAGGCTTATGTTGAACAAAATATTCCATAAATCAAGTGTGCTGTGGAACTAATTTTGCAGAGTTATGTAGGTTCTGAGTAGAGGGTTTAATGGGTCATGCACGATGAGTTTTAATGGGTCATGCACTACGGGTAAAGATCTAAGATTGTGTAGGATTGCACGATCATATTCCTAATGGAATTAATCTGTTTTAGCACAGCACTCCAAAACTATTTATTTTTATTTTTTATTTAAATTACAATGACCTCTTTTAGGATTTAGACAAATTATATGCGGATATTCGGTTGAACTTTTATTACTTTGACCTCTTGAGATTTATTGATCAAATTTTATAAAATTATAATTTTGCCCTTAAGTAACTTTTTACATTCAAAGTCACTTTTTGACCATCCCTAAGTTATAATTTTGCCCTTAAGTGACTTTTTATGTTCAAAGTCACTTTTCAACCATCGCGGACAAGTTTAGGGTAAGTCGAATTAATAAACGTTGAAAAATCCCAAGGGTTGTAGCATATTGTAAGCTAAGTGTATATAATGATGTTTTTTTTTTTTTTTTTTTTAAGTTAATTTCAAGTATTCGAGAAGGTACGACCCTCAACAACTCAACTAATTCCTGAGGACCCGGAAGCGCCTCCTCATCTGGATCGGATAAGTCACTGCAGGGGCAGCGAAAGCTATCACAAAGAACACCCAGCAAAACTTGAAACCCGGACCTTAGATTTGCTAAGCTCCAAAATCCAGCGAGTAAACCATTGTCCCATATCCAAAGTGGATTAGAAGAAACAAGTAGGTAGGTAGAAGCAAAACCATCAAGACACTGAAGTTAAGGTACTAAGAAGCCAAAAAGGGAGAAATTTTAGACTTCCTGACATTTCAATCCTCTGTTTTGATGATCAAAGTGGACAAGAATGTGTCAAACTTGCACTCTAGCGGCCATTTATTCTATTTCTAACTCTATTTTTCTTTTTCTTTCCATACATACATGCATTAGTATTCTGATTCTGTCATCTTTCAGACTCCAAAAAGATTACTCATTATGCGTCAATGATCAGTCACCTCTGGCACCTGCACTGGGTATCTATGGATCCTGTCCGACCACGCATTCGAATCGTCCGGTTTGAGCTTTGAAATGCATTTCCAAACAGCACTGTTACACTTAAACCCACTCCCAAATGCCAGCTGCCAAACTTTATCCCCCTTCCTCACCCTCCCCTTTGCCTCAAGATAGCATAGTGAGTACCAAATTGATGAAGATGATGTGTTCCCAAACCTATACAATGTCATTTTTGAGGGCTCCATATCTCTATCTGTCAACTTCAGTTTCTCCTTGATGGTGTCAATCACTGCTTTCCCTCCAGCATGTATGCAGAAATGCGCAAAGGCCTTCTTGAAATCCGGTATACGAGGACCCCTTTTCTTTGAAGGGGCCCAAATTTTCTTCCACGCCACTGACAACCCGTATCCAATTTGCTCCGAATAGGGCAGCACCAATGAGCCTAGTGATGCCATGTTTGTCTTCAGGCCTTCCCCTGCTACCTGCAGGATTGTCCGGGATAGGGACACCCCGGTATACCCCTCCTCATCCGATTCCTGTATTATGCACTTGTAGGAACCAGTTTTGGACCCTAGATGAGTCCGGACCACGTGCTGGAGTTCGTATTTAGCAATCTTTTTGTCACATTTTCTGTTGGAGAGTAACACTGCAGACCCTCCCATTCTGAACAAGCAGTTGGCTAGGAGCATAGACTTGACCTTTCCTTGGTAAAAATTTGAGCATATGGCCTCCATGCTAAGGACCAAAGCTACTGAATTCTTGTGGACTTTGAGGAGGTCCCGAGCCAAGCTAATTGACAAAATTCCCGCGCTGCATCCCATCCCGGATAGATTGAAGCTCATGACATTGCTTCTGAATCCGAACTTATTGATGATCATTGCAGCCAAAGAGGGAGTGGGACAGATTAGGCTGCAGTTTGTGATGAGGATATCAATGCTTTTCGGGGTTATGTTGTGCTTGGTGAGCAGCTCTTGGACTACTGAAAAAAGTACTGTTTCGACTTCATTCAGGATAGAACTAGAGGACTGATCAGCTGGGAGTTGATGGATCTGTAATGGTAAACAGGTTTCATTTCCAATGCCGGATTTTAACATGACTTTTCTTTGAAATTCAATTCTCTCTCGATTTTCATTCATAATTTCTGAGTGCTCTATGAAGGAGGAGATGGGGACTCGATGAGTGTCAGGTGCACGGAAGCAGATGAAGTCGAGGAGATACACACACTTTGAATTGTACGAAAAGTAGATTACGGATAGAATGAGAGTAATGGCTGCAAGAAACTTGAATTGGGTAAATGAGATGGAGACCTCAGAAAGAGTACATTGATCAAACATTAAGCACTCCATATTTTGTGTCCCCAAAATTCAATTTGCGAGTGTATAGTAATATATACATGGTTATTAACTGGTTTTGTGCAGTGAAGAAGTGTGTTTCTCTGTTTAAGCCCAACTGACGGAGGGTTAAAAGGTTCATGCAAGACAAATTGAACTCCAACCCCGTGTGTGAAATTGCACACAACACATTCACCAGAATTAACTAGGGGTCTTACAAACGACTTGAATTATATTAATAGAAATTGAAGAAAATTTAATAAGTAATCCACATTGTAAAGCGAAGGGACATTGTTATAGATAATACAAAATTAATTAATCAAATCATAAACTATCAACTGAACCTAGTTACAGTAAAAATTAGATAGAATTCAATTAAATAGTAGCAAGTAGTTATGTTAAAAACTTTTATGACTAATTTGGTGCGGTGGAATGGAATAAAAGAAAGCGAAATGGATTGATTTTTATTCCATTCTCATATTTGGTATTAATTTTAAAGTTGGAATCATCATTTCCGACTATTCTCAGAGAATAATCATTCTATCAAAATCATTCCACTTTCAAACAAAAGGAATGACCATTCCATTCCCACCTCCATTCTCATTCCATTCTAATTCATTCCACCACAACTAACTAGCCATTAAAGTACTTCAAATTAAGCTTGACCAAAATATAAAATGGTTTTTAGTAAAACTTACTCTAACAACATCCATTATGGTTTGGACCACATCGGCCAAAATTTAAATGAATCGAGACTTTCAATTGTTGAAAAGGGGAAAAAGATAATTTCTATCATGTGTATGAAATTGAAATTTGTTCTTTTTTTCCTTTCCATACTTTAAGAACCAACTTTATAACGAAAGCGTAGTAAACCTTAATTTGGAAAATTATGAAGAAAATGGGTGCATATAACATAAATATTAATCATAAGATGCAATCCTCCTAACCCAGTAACATATAAGGATGATAATAGTAAGTCCAATGAATATTGTTTACACTTACTATGCTATCTTGAATAAGAAATACTTCAATAGAAGTAAGATTATATCCATGAACCATGAAAAAACAAAGAAAATAATAATAATAATAATAATACATGTTTTTTTTTTTAATAATATTCCGCGATTGTATAGAATTGTATAGAAAATGCATAAAATCGTGTTCTAACATTGAAAATATTTTAGATAGTCTTTTTGAGTTTTCTAGAATTATCCCAACTTTTTGATGTAGTGTTTTGTATAAATAGGGTTGATACTCATTTTTAGGGGTGGGCAAAAAATCCGCGAATCCGTTAATCCGATCCGATTTGTACGGATTAAATTGCCAGACTTACGGATCGGTGTCCGTAGTTTACAAATCGGATCAGGATTAAGCTGTCAAAAATTCAATTCGATCTGTGGCCAATCCGTAATATATATATATATATATATATATATATATATATATATATATATATATATATATTATACAATTAGTTTTATAATATTTATTACTCAATCAATATTAGTGGACCACTACCTTTTTATTTAATCAAAACCTAAACCTAACCAAAGATAAAAAAACTCAAAGAACTAAAGAATAGTAGAGAGAAAAGCGGCCGCCTAACCTATTATGTATTTAATTTGGTTTTATCTATATTCTGTTATATACTTATACTACTTCGTAAGTGGATATGAAATTGGCGAAAATAAACTATTTTGAAAAATCTAATCTGCGAATTGGATCCGATCCGATCCGTCATTTCACAGATCCGATCCTATCCGTTGGCTAACGAATTAGTGACGGATTCAAAATTTCCCAATCCGTTGCGAACGGATCGAATTAGAATTGAATCAATTGATGCCTAATCTGATTCGATTTGATCCGTGGCCACCCCTACTCATTTGCTCGATAACAAACATGTATTCTCTTTTCTTTTTACATTTACATAAACTCTTTTTTAGTGGCACATAGATGTAGTTACTTTACTCCATTTCATCATTAACATTATTCTATTAACCGATTAACAGTGATCTTAATGTCCAACGGCGGATTGTAACTTTTTTAGTTTATTTTTAACGTTAAGAGCAGACTATAGATAATATGAAAAGAAAAATAGTACAAATTAAAAGAGTTATGTTTTTTAGTGTCAACATTATTATATTTTCTTTTCTTCTCAAATAATATATATATATATATGTGTGTGTGTGTGTGTGTGTGTGTGACTGTGTGTTATAAATAAAGTATTTATGTTGTAATAAGGATTATTATAATAATGGTTATTATTATTTACTATATTTTGAATTAAGGGTTATAATTTATAAGTAATTTCATTCACAAACCATATCTATCATAAAAAATAAAAAATAAAAAAATAAAAAATTCATTCAGAAACCACATTCAAAATCATAAGGTAAACCCATAAATAGAAAAAAATTTAGAATTTGGAAGAGGCAAGATTTAATTTTTATACAAAAAATCACCATTAGTAACTATAAAAATGGTTTTTTTTTTTTAATTTATTTTTTGCAATTTGGGAGAGTCAAGCTTTAATTTTTATATAAAATTCACCATTAATAATTATAATTTAATACCATCAATAGGGTTTTACAAAAATTTTGAAGAACCAACTTTTTAGAAAAATTACCATTAATAACTATAATTTAGTACATAAATAGATCGATTTTGCAAAATTTTGGACACACCAATTTAATTTTTATATAGAAAAATGACTATTAATATATATATAGTACTAGTCCAAAAATTTTGCAAAATATTTGGAGGCTCTATTCATTTCATCTCTTATCCTATATTCCACATAAATAAAGATTTTACTACCTTCACAACACACAAAAATAAATTTGTAAAGTTTAAATACTTTAGTTTAATTAAAATTTTGTGAATGAAAATATGGATGAAAAAGTATATAATTTTTTGATCAAGAATATATATTTTACTTAGAACTGACTTTTTGGCCGTCAAAATATTTTTTATTTTTAATTTTTAATTTTTTCTTCTCAATCTCATCTCACTTCTACTCTCTTTATCTCTCCGAGTTAAGCAAAACTGAAATCAATTATCAATTTAGTGAATAAAAAGTATTACAGATTATATTTAAATTTTATATTTGAATGTCTTGGTTCAAAATAATATATTGTCCACACTAGAGTAAATTAATGGCTCTGTTACACACAATCACAAACACCCAACCTCCAAACAATAGAATACTCGATGAGCAATTCCACCTACCATATCCATTAAAGTCAAGCTCAATGTGAACATAATTACAAAAAAAAATTTTAACCCAAAAACAATTAAATAAAATAAATAAGGGCAGACCCTGACCCAAGGCGACCAAGGCTACCAAGGCTGTAGTCTATGGCCTCAAAATTTATGAAGCCTCAAAATTTATAGGTCCATGGATGATGGGCCACTAGAAAAAAAAAAATAATAATAATAAAAGAATAAAATAAAATAAAATAAAATTAGGGCAAATCATTTTAGCCTTCCTAATCGCCTCAATCTCTATTCTCATTCTCAACTATGAACTTCCCTCTCTCTGTCTCTGCAACTACAAACTACAAAATCCACAAGAATCAGAAGTTCAAAACCCATATATTTCAGTTTATCTATCTGTCTACAAGAATCAAAAGTTCAAAACCCATATCGGCATATCATTTCAGATTGTTCAAAAAATCAAAACCCATATCTTTCAGTTTTCATCGCCCGTTGTTCTAGTTCGGGTTCGCCGTTCGCAAGCTTCAGCCGCTGTCTCTCAACTCTCAAGCTTGCCCCCCTTTCTCTCTGCAACTGCTAACTTGTATGTATGGGTTTTGTTTTAATTGTTTTTTTTTCTTTCTAAATCAATTAATCAAGGTCTGTAATTCTTGTTTTGCAAACTAAATCCTATTTGGATGTTAACCGCATAAAGCATAAATCTGTCAATTAATATGGGACCCAATTGTAGATGAAACAAAGTACAATATAAAGTAACCAAATTTATTAATAATAAACAACAAAATTTTCAATTTTTTTTTGTAGATTTTTGTGCTTTGAGCAACTTGGAGGAGCTTGATTTGAGCGTTAGTGTGAAGGGGCTAATTATTATACTGTCATATTCATTGCATTGCATTTTGAGGTAATCTACATTTTATTTCAACAAAACAAAAACATAATATATATATTTTTTAATTCTATAACTTCTATTTCTATATATATATATTTTTGTTGTCATTTATGTTTACAAGAAAATTTGAATCTGGGCATGAAAAAAAAAAAAAAAAAAAGGGAGAGAGAAAAAAAATTGATTCAATCTCAAAAAGACGCTATTCATAAGCTTTTTAGGAACAATACACAAACTGAGAGTTTAGTTGAAGATTTGGTGAATGAAGAACATAAGAATAAAGAAAATCATAATGAACATGGAGATTTAATGAATGAAGATAGGAATAAGAATAAAAATGAAGAAAATGTGAATGAACTTGAAGATTTGGTAAATAAAGAATATATGAATAAGAACGATAATCTTCCTTTGAACATTAATGATCTTGGAAATTGAAAAAATATTGATAAAAAAATGGGAGATTTATTAGTTGAAAGAGGTCCTCCAAGAGATGCTAAACTTGAAAATTTTCCTAAGGATTCAAAAAATAGACATATATTTTTATGCGTGTGAGACTTTTTATGTATAAAGGGACTCATATTAAAGTTCGCCTAGGGCTCTCGAGATTTTTTCAATCTTAGGGCCGGCCCTGAAATAAACCATATGTAACATTCATTAAGGGCTGCAAGTTAGGCAGGCCCAATCCAGCTCAGTCCTAACCCAACTTCAACTCGAAGTTGGGTTGGGTTGGACTGGCCCAATTCCAAACAAAGCTGGGCTCTGCCAATAACCCAAATTCAAATTTTTTTGGGTTGGACAGGCTGACCCGTTCAACCCATTTTATTTATTTATTATTTGTTATTAAATAATTTTTATTTTAAAATTATTTAAAAACACCTTTAAACAATACGGGAGTAAACCCTAACACAACCCC